ATTTTATTTATTTATTTGAGAGAGAGAGAGCAAGCAGGGGCAGGGCAGAGGAAGAGGGAGAAGCGGACTCCCCGCTGAGCAGGGAGCCTGACACGGGGCTTGATCTCACCTCCCTGAGATCACGACCTGAGCCGACATCAAGAGTCAGACGCTTAACTGACTGAGCCACCCAGGTGCCCCAACTAACTGGCATTTAAGTAAAAACTTTAAAAAATGTGTGTTCTATCTTGCTGCTTGACACGTGTATTTTCATAATAACAAAATTGAAAAGGATATGCTAAGTAACAATTGCCACTAAATAACATGGTTGGTGCCAATTCGAAATTCCTTGCCTTCCTGCCAAACGTGTGGGTGGCCCTGGCATCTGCTAGGCTGGGGGGGGAGGAAGGGGGAAAAGGATTTCTCCCTCCCTTGCTGGCTCTGTGCCCTTCGGACTGCTGTGGAAATCCATAGGATAAACATGCACTTTCTCTGCCTTCCTGTTTACTGGGGGGCATCGGGGATGGGAGGCTCTGCTGCTTGCCATCTGACGGCCCCTCCCCTCCTTCTAGTGTGAGGTTCAGCAGCTGTGAGGTTTCTGTCCCTTCTCCCAGTCCCAGACAGTCACCTCTGTCCATGAGGGGCCCTTCTTTCCCACCCCCACGGGCATCACACTTTTAAGTTTCTCAAAGGAACCCTAGGCTGGAGGGACTCCTCAGAAGGTGGTGGCACAGGGACGACCTTCCCCAAGACTGCTCCCTGTTTCTTCTCACCCAGCCTCCATCCTGCACCTCACAGGGCTTCTGTGTACCCACATGGGCACCCCGACCCACGTGTCTCAGCTCCTTCCACATCCCTGCACAAGTGATCCCACGGCCACCCCCGTGGTCCCCTGTGCCCAAATGCCATTAGAGGAGCCCGCATCCAAGAGCTAGGACTCCTGCAAGGTGACGGACTCAGGGAATAGACTTGTGCAGGCCCTGGAAGTGGGTGCAGGGCTGTTGTCATAGGGAATGGGGAACTCTGGTTCCCAAGTGTCACCTAGAAGGGCCATGGCCTAAGGATGGGTCTTGCCTGGGTCTAAGGATGATGTGGCTATATTGATAAGTTATGGGCTTTCAGAAGAGGGAAAGATTCTGTTTCACAGGGAATCAAGGATATTTCTATAGAAGTGGTATCTGAATGAGGTCGTGAAGGAGGGGTTTGATTTTGACATGGTAGTTGGGGAACGCATTATGATCTGAATACGGTCTCACTGTGAGTAAAGGCACAGAGGTGGGAAACTGGTATTATTTATGGAAAACTGTTTAGGTTACTAATAGGAAATGATGTTTGGGAGAAAAGTTGGGAAAGTAGTTTGGAGCTGGAAAATGGAGGGCTTGAATGGCAAACTATGGGGCTTGGGCTCTATCCTGTGGACAGGAGTAAGCCTCTCCATGGATGTCTGCCTGTACACCTGTGTTTATCTCCACTACCTGGGTGGGATTTCCCAGTGTACTCAGTGGAAATTATGATTTCTGGGTTCTACTTCAATTTGTGTTACAGATTCACTCTGTGACATAGGCAAGTTCTTTAGCTTCTCAATTTGTCAAATCTTATGCAGTGAAGATAATTAGACTTTCATTCATTTGTCTTTTTTTTTTTTTTTTTAGATTTTATTTATTTGAGAGAGACAGAGATAGTGAGATAGAGAGCACAAGTGGGGAGGAGAGGGAGAAGCAGGCTCCCCGCGGAGCAGGGAGCCCGACGTGGTGCTCGATCCCAGGACCCTGGGATCATGACCTGAGCCGAAGGCAGACGCTCAACCATCTGAGCCACCCAGGCACCCAAGATTTTATTTTTTATTTGACAGAGAGAGAGTGAGAGAGGGAACACAAGCAGGGGGAGTGGGAGAAGGAGAAGCAGGCTCCCCACAGAGCAGGGAGCCCGATGCGGGACTCGATCCCAGGACCCTGGGATCATGACCTGAGCCGAACGAAAGCAGACGCTCAACCGACTGAGCCACCCAGGCGCCCCATTTGTCTTTCTAATGAGCTCAGTGAAATTACTTTTTTGGATATTCTTGTAGATAATCCTTTGAAAACGAATTAGGATTTCGATAGTTATGATTCCTTTTCATTGATCCTATTCTTATTTAAAATATTATTATTTTAGCAGCGATACTTCCAGTGTTATAATTCATGTTAGCCAGATTTACTTCCTTCAGTTATTTGTGAGTCTTAACTAAATTGGAAGTGATTAGTTTTCTACTCCCGCCTTGTCTTTCTCTCTAGGTAACTGGGCAGCCCTTGAGCCCTGCGTCCCAGCAGTCCCAGCAAGGGCTCAGCCCCTCGCAGATACAAGGCGGCGCCTCCACACCGGGCCAGGCTCTCCAGCAGCAGCAGGGCTCCTCTGTACAACACACCTACCTACCCAACGCTTGGAACTCCTTCCGTGGCTACTGTAAGGCAGGAACAGGGATGGTGCTGTAGCTCACGGGTGGGGAATCTACACTCAAGGGTCATAATTTCATCAGCTTTAGAATAAATTTTCTGGACTAAAGTATCATTGGCCATTTTCTACACTTCGTAGTGCATGTCCTTGAATGAGTTTCATGACCAAATTCAAGGCAGCGTTCTGATCTCAGAGAGCCACCCATTTCAGAGACATCAGGAACACTGCCAGAGAAAGTGTAGGCGGATGGACTAAGTAGCAGAATAGATGGATCTAGGGTAGGTTGATGGTGGTGAGTCATCTCTTCCATCAACATTTATTGAATACAGTCTTTGTATAGGTGGATGTGCTAGACCCTGGCTATACAAAAAATTAATATTGATTCATATCAGTAACACCACACAGCCAGCTTTCATTAAGCTCTAAGCTCTCACTAGGTGCCAGGAATGATTCTAAACCACATATATACTACATTCAGTATTCACAACAACATATAAGTACAATTGCTATTTGCACTTTATAGATAGGGAAACTCAGACACAGAGTAACTTGCCCAAGGAACACAGCTAGTAACTAGAGGATTGGAACTCAGGCAGTCTGGCTTCAGAGTTTACACTCCAAACCACCCCACTCTGTGGCCTCTCCTTATAAGATAGTCTTTGGCTCAAAGAGATCATTATCTAGTAGAGAGAGAGATATGAGTAGTTGGCTTTCAAAACCCTGAGATTAGTGCTACAGAAGCAGCAAAAGGCTGGTGCTGGAGGTCCTAATGGTGAACAGATTTGGTGGGGATGGCAGCCTTGGATATGAGCTGGAAAGCATGGGGTCTTTATGACTGAAGATCTGGAATAGAGGAAACAACAGCCCTTGATAGTAGCAACTAGGAGCAGTAGGGGCTGAGAAGTTAGGAAGGCCAGTGTTGGTCTTCCTCCTACTACTGATTTCTTTCCTTGAGTCTGTCTCCATTGTCCTTGGCTGTGTTATGTGGATTTGGTATGGAATCAGGCTCAAACTGTACGTTCTTGTTATTTTTACACTCTGTTCTCTTAAATATTGGTGGTCACAATGAGGGCTGAGTCTTGTTTCTAGTCGGGGAAAGACTCCTACTCACGGTAAATACCAGGAGAACCCTGGTCAGTAGACATTTATACTAAGTTTAATTCCTGTGAAAGAAATGTGGCATGATGCAGATCGCCATGGGAATAATAGAAAACCTGAAGAAAAGATTCTGGAATTGAAGTTATTAGGGAAAACATTTAAAATACAAAAAATAGAGTAGTATAATGAACGCCTTGGTACCCATTATCCAACTTCAGTTATGAACTCAGGGCCAGTCTTGTCTCATTTGTACCCCAACATTCTCTTCCAATCCCCCAACTATACAATAATCCATATTATTTCATCCATAAATATTTTTAAAAATATTTTATTTATTTATTTATTTATTTAGAGCATGAGTGGGGCTGGGGGGAGGGGCAGAGAGAGAAGCTCAAGCAGATTCCTCACTGAGCGTGGAGCCCAATGCCGGGCTCCATCTCACAACCCTGAGATCATGACCTGTGATGAAATCAAAAGTCAGACACTTAACCAACTGAGCCACCCAGGTGCCTCCATCCATAAATATATATAGTTTTAAAGATTTATTTATTTATTTGAGGGGGAGGGGCAGGGGGGAGAGAGAGGATCTCAAGCAGATTCCCTGCTGAGTGTGGAGCCTGAAGTGAGGTTCCATTTCACAACCCTGAGATCATGACCTGAGCCAAAATCAAGACTCCCATGTTCAACTGACTGAGTCACCTAGGTGCCCACATAAATGTTTTTTAAAACACAACTCTAGGGGCGTCTGGGTGGCTCAGTCGTTGCGTCTGCCTTTGGCTCAGGTCATGATCCCAGGGTCCTGGGATCGAGCCCCGCATCGGGCTCCCTGCTCCGTGGGAAGCCTGCTTCTCCCTCTCCCACTCTCCCTGCTTGTGTTCCCTCTCTCGCTGTGTCTCTCTCTGTCAAATAAATAAAATCTTTAAAAAAAAACAAAACAAAACACAACTCTAGTACTGTCATCAAACCTAAAAATAAATGACACTAATTCTTTGATAACCATCAAATATCCACTGTTCGTATTTCTGTGATTGTCTCATAAATTTTTTTTTAAGATTTTATTAATTTATTTGACAGAGAGAGAGAGCATAAGCAGGGGAGCAGGCAGAGGGAGAGGGAGAAGCAGGCTCGCTGCTGAGCAGAGAGCTCAATGCAGGGCTCGATCCCAGGACCTGGGATCATGACCTGGGCTGAAGGCAGTCACTTAACTGATTGAGCCACCCAGGCGCCCCTCATAAATTTTTTTTATGGTTGGTTTGTTCAAATTGAGTTCCAAATAAGGCTCATGCATTGCAATTGGTTATATATTTTGAAGGTTTTTTTTTAAGATTTTATTTTTTTAAGTAATTGCTACACCCAACGTGGGGCTCAAACCCATGACCCCAAGATCAAGATTCACATGCTCTACTGACCAGGCAGCCTTTGAGGTTTTTTTGTTTTTTGTTTTTTTTTTTAAATATGTATTCTCTCTCTTTTAAATTGCAATTTATGTGTTGAAGAAACTGGGTCATTTGTTCTGTAGAATTTCTCACATTTTGAATTTTGCTGTTGTCATCCCTATATTATCATTTAAGATGCTTTCTTCTGTCCCTTTTCTTTCCTGTAGACTGGAGGCTTGATCAAATTCAGGTTCAGTTTTCCCTCCCAAGACACTTCTGGCTGGTGGTGTGTACTTCCATCAGGAGGCACATTATGTTTGGTTGTCTGTCTTTTCCCTTTGCACCACTGTTTCATTAGAGATTGTAAAATTGTCATATTCTGATTCTATCATTCTTTTCTTACTTATCAGCTAGAAAACGTCTTCTTTTTTAAGATTTTATTTTTAAGTGATCTCTGCACCCAGTGTGGGGCTCAAACTCACAACCCCAAGATCAAGAGTCATGCACACCACCGACTGGGCCAGCCAGGTGCCCCTAGAAAACTTCTGTAAAGAAAAAATTTTTACCTTAACTAACAGGTTACTCTGCGGTGCAGTTTGCACAGGAAGGGCAGGATAAATCCTTTAAATATTCAGTTCATCTCTTTTATTTACCAGTTTTCAAAATAATGAGTTCTTTCCTAGTATTATCCCAGGTGACCAATGAGGGGTATGCGTGTGTGTCTTACTATCATTGTATTCTCATGAATTTCAACACAGTAAATATATTTCAAGCCATTGCAGTTGTTACCCTTATTGTTGCTCAGATTATCCCATCACTGGCTAATGAGAGCATCTTCGAATTGGCCCCTGTGTCTTTTCTACATGACCCTGTAGTCTCTTACAGCATCTTGCATGCTGGTATGATCCCAGCTTATTTTATGATCTAGGCTCATTTTACAATGTTTCCTATATCAGCTCTGGAATCAGACAGAAGCTATTATATAAAGACTATCAACTGGATGCTAGGGTGAACTTTGTTTTTAATTTGCTTTAATAACACTGTGGTGAAATAAAATTCAAGTTAGATTATGTTGTGATTAGTAGGCAATAGTGGGTACATTTATCAATGACTCAAATCCGAATATAAAAGTTAAAAATATTGAGCTAACAGGTAAACCTTTGTAACTTATTTCAAGGTTTAAAAAAAATTATTGAATATTTGTCTTACGGATATTCAGAAGCCACATTTGGGGGAGATGCATTGATTATTTCTCTTTTTTTTTTTTTGCATTGATTATTTCTGATATTTGATAACTCTCTGCTAACTTCCTATGATCATTCTTATCAGAGTATCAAGAAATCGTATCATGATAAGATTCTATGGCAAGCAAATCTATGGAAAATGTCTCAAGAATGTGGCCAATGGTTAGGTATTTGTTTCTACAACTTGTATTAAAATCTGAGACCACTGAAGTATGGCTATTTCCTCTTTTTCAGCATCGGAGATTCAAATGATGACACTTCCCCCAGGTCAGTTTGTGATTACAGACAGTGGTGTGGCCACTCCTGTCACCACTGGCCAAGTGAAGGCAGTTACGCCGGTAAGTGACCTGCTCGGGAGGGCTTTCCTGTCCATCACACTACACCACTCTCCCCTCCCTCTGTTTCCTCTTCCTCAGCTTTCCTTATCTGAGTTAGAAGTACCTCCTCTGTATTCCCATAACTCCTTGTGGAGTTATATTATAACCCTTATCATAGTTTATATTAATTACTGGCTTACTGTCAATCTTTTCCCAGCAGACAATGAATTCCTTGAAAGCTGGGTCTTGGTCTTTATCTCTTTATTCTCAGTGCCTTGCACAGGATGCTGGGCTATAGCAAATGGTCAATAAATACCTATGCAGTTAATAACTGTAATGAACCTCCTAGACCCATATACATACAGATTCGTAATTGATCACCTTTTTATGTGCTTTGTGGAAAGTATTCATGACTATTGGTCTTCAACTGGGTTGGAAGAGAATAATAGAATGAATCTGTTATGGAGCTCTTTTAAGCTATTTTAAACATTCAGTCTCCCCCACTCGCCCCCCCCCGCCTGGGAAAAACATTGTCATGAATTATCTTGTTTTATTTAGATTAGGCAGGTCAATGTTGATTTTATCTGCTACCTCTGGTTTTATCGTCACTGGTTTGTTCTGGCCTGCCTCTAAGTAATTAGAAAACAGTATGTAAATTTAAATTAAGAAACATACTCATGAGTGGCTAGGGATATTGGGAGGTTCCCAGGGGAAGACTCTTTCCCAAGAGGTCTCAAAGAGTAGCAGGGTAGTCTGGTGGCCTCAAAACCTGATTTTTTGTGACGCCTGGGTGGCTCAGTCGGTTAAGCATCTGCCTTCAGCTCAGGTCATGATCCCAGGGTTCTGGGATCGAGTCCCACATCAGGCTCCTTACTTAGCAGGGAGCCTGCTTTTCCCTCTGCCTGCCGCTCCCTCTGCTGTGCTCTCTCTCTCTCTGACAAATAAATTAAAAAAAAAAACAAAAACCCAAAAATGAAAACCTGATTTTTTTCCCCCAAAGCATACTGAGAGGTTACCTATTTCTTAGCACACAAACTCACATTAACTAGACTTAGGAGAGATGTGTAAATCCAGAGTAACGCTACGGTCAGTGAAGACAATAACTAATGTACAATGGAATAGTCTCATTGGCATAATCAGTGAGATTTTTACTCTCTGTCAGACCCATTGACTCTTTACCTTTTTTTTGGCCAGGAACTCATTTGAGAACCTGATTATAGCCAAGGATCTTCCCCTCCTCCTGCCATAATACACACACACACTCACACATGTGCACACACACACAAATTTAATGTACATTTTCCAGGGTTCATAGAATCTCTAAAGCCTATCTATGGACCACCTAGTAGTCCATGGACCCTAGGCTGAGAGCCAGCCTCCTCCTGCTAGAGAAAGATTCACATGGGAAACGAAATCATAATCAGAGATTGATGAGTGTGGACTCTGAGCACATGGCCCTAGAGAAATCAAATGGGTATTTGCCTATGGCTTTTTTTCTGGACAGTGCTTGGAAAGGCCACTCACTGCCTGGGTTTTCCTCTGTTACTTCTTTTTTCTTAGCCTATATAGCAGACCGATCACCCTGCCAAGGGACACATTTCTTTAAAAACTTAGGAGATAGCTAGCTCCACGTCTGTGAAGTTTTCATGATCAAAGGAAAAATAATGACAATGCATGTTTTCATAAAGCTAAATTGATTCAATGTAAAGGATTTTATTCTAAGATTGTATTCTTCTTATACTTTTGAGTGTTAAAATTTCTCTCATTTGACAGTAGCATCTTAAAAATGACTTTACTTGGGCGCCTGGGTGGCTCAGTTGGTTAAGCGACTGCCTTCGGCTCAGGTCATGATCCTGGAGTCCCTGGATCGAGTCCCGCATCGGGCTCCCTGCTCGGCAGGGAGCCTGCTTCTCCCTCTGACCCTCCCCCCTCTCATGTGCTCTCTCTCTTTCATTCTCTCTATCTCAAATAAATAAATAAAATCTTTAAAAAAAAAAAAGTTAAAAAAATAAAATAAAAATGACTTTACTTGGCAAAATAAAATTTGGGAATACTTACTATTACTTTTAATTTGCTGGCCTATGAAATTCTGAAACCTAGGAACCACTGATCTTGACTCCCTGTCTTGGGAGCCATTATGTCTCTTTAAGGAAACTTTAAATATCTCTTCTGTGATCTATTTTGTATTACTCTTAAATATTAATAGACAGCAATCTTATTTCATGACTATCTAAATTCTTAGGAGCAGTACAATAGCCCACGTTTCCTTTGCCACATAGGTCACTATTGTAATGCAAATTTCTGTACTCGAAGCTCTTCACTATATCATTTGGTGGAACACCTAAGGCGGTCCCTTAAATTACCTTGGTAGTCTATTACTCTGACTGATCCATCCCCTCTAAAGTACTCACATAAGTGCCTATTTTGGTGTCACCTTGTAACATTTCCTTTCATATTCCTTCTTTTTCTCTCCACCAAGAACCTCCCCCGCTCCTTTAGACTTCAGATTTCTAAAGATCTTTTTTTATTCTAGGGTCATTATGTGTTATCAGAAAGTCAACCAGAATTGGAGGAAAAGCAAGCTTCTGCTCTCTCCACGGGAGTCCAGGTTCAGCCAGCTACACACAGTGACTTGGACCCCCAGACCACCAGCCAACAGCAGCCCACACAGTACATCATTACAACCACCACCAACGGGAATGGGAGCAGCGAAGTGCATATCACTAAACCTTAACTTCTACCCTTGAGCTTGAATCCAGCAGTCACATCATGTCTTTTCTCATCCATAAGTTTGAAAGCTTCCAACACTTGGAACTCTTTTTTTAAGATTTATCATTCACTCAAGAATTTGGAAACCACAGTTTTGACACTCTACACACACTGGGGCTCCTTTTATAAAGGTCATCTTTACCAAATTGACTCTTCAAACCCTAGGAGCTTCTGCCATGGAATGGAGATCTTTCAGGGGAAAGTAGATTTCAAGGTGGAGAAACTTCGCCTTACTCTCGAGTTGGTTTTTTTAACACATTGATAGGCCTTACTTTTCCTTTGTGGAAATACTAGGTGGTGTATCACGTTTGTACCAAAGGTGGAGAAAGGATGTGCCAGGTCCATGGCCACTGGACTTCTTCATTCCACGCCATGGCACTGAAGGAGACGGGCATTTTATTCAGTCAGAACTGCTTCATCTTTTGAGTTTGCATTTTCAGTAATTTAACAAGGGGAGCCTATCGAATATGAAAATAAAGACGATGAAACAGAGGTTTGACCGTGATGTTCTGAAGGAAAAACCGTCTTCTAGATTTTTCTTATTGCTGATTTAAAACAACCACAACAACAGCTTGCCTCTTTGGGGAGACTGTTGTTGGGTTACTATTGGTGGTGCTTTGCCCAGGTGTTTCCACAAGTGCAGGCCTTCAGCCACTGAGGCCAGAACCTCCTGTTCGGATTTATTTTATTTACTTTATTACTCCGCAACGGTAGACTCCCTGTAAGAGAAAAGGTTTGTTTGATGTCAGCAGAATTTAAACTGCTACGTTAAAGCTTTGCCTCCCATTCTCTGGTTGGGGTGTATTAAGAAGGAGGCGTTCGAGATCTTGGTACAAAGAAAAATTACTAAGATAATTACCTATCGATAAAGTGAAAAGCACTGAAACCTTGTCCTGCCTTGCAGGATCCATTTACCATTCATTGGTACAGGATAAATTCCTCGTTCTTATCAGGCGTACATTCGACTGTCACATCATGCAGTGTATTTTAGTACTTCTCATGCTGTCTTAAAATGAACATTCTTTAAGGTTGGATGGAAAGGTGGCCCTTCGTATTTTTTTTAATACTTTTAAGTTATGCATATTGTAACTCACCTGGACCTTTTGGAAAGATGACCAACTTCACACTTAGGAGAAAAATAAGAATGTGGGGACTGTTTATATGTCAAGGTAATTATAAGGGATATTAAAGAAATCCAATCTTTATGCATCTTACACTGTCGTTTGGGAGGAAAAAAAGTCTGCCTCAGCGATAGTTTTTCTTATATGTGTTCTTGTTTGCTGCCTTATTGGCTATGAACTCAATGGGGAAAAACATTTCCCTCCTTTTTCCTGTGCATTCCAATTGTACACATAAACCATTACAGAAATCAGTGTGTATTTTAACAACTTTTTGTGACATACTAACACATTTTTAGAGTAATTATCCTATGATGGAACTTATCACTCCTGAACAGAAAGACCTAAGTTCAATTTCAAATGAAGTTAACTAATCTTTTTTATTTACATTTCTGGGTAAAAACTGGTTCTATAAACTAAAAAAGTATAGTGGCTTCTTTATGGTAAAGACATCTTTTTGAAAAACCATTCTGTTGAAATAACTTTACTAATATGTAGATTTTGCACTTTATTTTTGAGACCTCATTTATTTAGTTATCCCTGAAAATCTGGGCACTAAGAGAACTTGAGAAAGTTACTTGGTAAATGTTAGAAACTAGGGATGGAGTCTATCTTTGGTAACAAAGATGTAATGTTGATGTTTTCAATAGAAAATATTGACCCTAAGTCACAAAACAGAGACTCTGGGTTCCAAAGTCCCACAGTGTAATGATTGTAAATATCCTAGTGTCCAGTCTAGAAAGACTTGCTAGGTGAAGAATATTAGACTTTGCTAAAGGTCCAGTTAAATTTTTACACCTTAAATTTGGCCCTATTGGGTCCTTTTTAATTTGAACCAGCAAAGTACCTCCCCTTCCCTCAGGAATAACTTATTGATTAAAAGAGAAAACTATCACTGAACAGAATGTTCATTTTATGCCAGTTATTTCAAGTTGTAAAATACACAGAAGAAAATAGTTTGGAAGGACTCTGTTTCTTTCCCACCTAAGTTTTTTCTTTTTCTCTTTTTGTACTTACGTGGAATAAGCAAAGGATCTAAAACTAATTTGTATATTATCAACCAGAGTTGGTTGCAGGTGCAGTCAAGCCAAACAACACTTCTTTAAGATCAGGTATTCTGCATGTCCATTCCAAGTTAATAGATTTTCAAAAGGACTTGGATTTGAAGAGATGGTGGATTATAAGCCATCTGAAGACCAATATGGAAAAAAAGTATGTAGCCAATGTTTATATTGTGGCCTCTCTTAGGACATATTGGCACTCTAGACTTCAGTGCAGTGTGAAAATTTTGGAGTAGGTTACATACACATTTTACATTTTTATTCTTTGATTTGTGCTGCATAAGTAGACATTTCATCATGTAAAATTCCTATTATTCTGGAAAAACCTATTGTTTTGATCTTCTTGAATTGTTTTCTGATTTGGAATTATCCTTTCAAAAAACTCTCAAGATATCTAGGGCTAAAAAGCACTTCATGAGATGCTAAAGCTGACCCACAGGTTGAAAATATTGACCCTGTCCTGTTATTTAAATGTGAACATTTATTGTACATTCAGTGAGTTATAGTGTTAATAGTCTTGTGCTACTCAGCAGGTGTAAAAATTAATAAATATTTTTTTTTAAAAAACATCTTCCTTGTTTGTATGTGTGAAGCTACAAGAACTACTGAGATTGTTAATTTTTTTAAAAAAAGATTTTTATTTATTTTAGAGAGAGAGAACGCACCTGGGTGAGCTGGGAGGAGGGAGGGCCAGAGGGAAAGAATCTCAAGCTGACTCCCCTCTGAGCCAGGAGCCATAGTGGGGCTTTATCTCACAATCCTGAGATCTGACCTGACCTGAAATCAAGAGTCATCGCTTAACCAATTGAGCCACCCAGGTGCCCCAATTTTTTTTTTTTTTTTTAATATTACAATTTATAATGTTTTGACTCTTTGGTTCACGCTGGTCTGGTCGGAGACACAATATAAGGAAACTTAGGGATGATAACTATGGAATGGTGTTCCTCGGCCCTTTTAGTTGGTGGTTTCTAATTCAAAAACCTCCCAATGGTCTAACAGGCAGGAACTAAGGGGAGGTGGGCAGCCAGCAGGGGAGCAAAAATGGGCTTTCTTTGGAAACCACTGTTTTCCAACAAGGGAGGAGCATTAGTTTGACCTGTCAGCTTCCCCAACACATTTCCATCCAGTGGAGAGACCTGAGGATGGTCTCTGCAGGGCTGCTGGGAGAAGTTGTGGATTAAGTAGTCTGAAGCTGTTCTAAAGAAGACTCAGTGAAAAAGGGACCTAGATTCTTTTTTTTTTCTCAAAGATTTATTTATTTATTTATTTAAGAGAGAGAGAGAGAGAGAGAGAACACGAGAGGAGGGAGGGTCAGGGAGCATCAGACTCCCGGCTGAGCAGGGAGCCCCATGCAACTTAACCCAAGGACTCAGGGATCATGACCTGAGCAGAAGGCAGACTTAACCGACTGAGCCACCCAGGCACCAGGGACCTAGATTCTTCTTTTTTTAAGATTTTACCTGACCCATTGAGAGAGAGAGAGAGAAAGCACGAGCTGGGGGAATGGCAGAGAAAGAGGGAGAAGCAGACTCCCCTCTAAACAGGGAGCCCGACATGGGGCTCGATCCCAGCACCTCGAGATCATGACCTGAGCCGAAGGCAGACAGCCACTGACTGACCACCCAGGTGCCCTGGGACCTAGATTCTTAACAGAGGAATGTAATCGAGTTTAATTTTAAATGTATTTCTTCGACGTGTGTATACTTTCTTTCCCAACGTCAGGGGCCCAGGGACAGGAGGAAGATATGGGGATACGCAGGGGCACAGGCTCCGGGTCTGTGTTTTCCTCCCTGAAACTCAAGAAACTGCAGTTTCCTCAGCTGTAAAATGGGAATAGTGCATAAGAGCCTACAGTACTAGATAGGGGCTAGAAAGTGCTTAGCATAGTGCCTGGTACAGGGTATGCTCTCTGCAAACGTTGGCTAATAAAATTGCATTCACTCATTCATGGGCCTCAGTTCGCGGCTAGGTAAAGACTACAGACATTCTTCCGAAGAAGCTTCTATGCAGGTGAGACCAACAGGCCCAAGCCGCGTGCAAACTGCAACCCAAACCCAGCAGCGCGGGCTCTCACCGGCCCAGGCCCCGCCCCGCTCGGCCCCGCCCCTCGGCACCCTCCAGGCCCCGCCCCGCGCAACCCCGCCCCTTCCGCCGCCCGAGCCCGGAGCGTGCACGCACCGAAACGCCTTGCGGGAGCGAGCGCGTCTGAGAGCCCGCGGGCCGGGAAGCGCTGCGGGTTGGGAGACCCGCGCCGGCGATTCAGGTGAGGGCGGGCCCGGGACGGCGAAAGGGTTAAAGTGTAGCCGGGGAGCGGAGGGAGGGAGCGGCTGGGTCTCCAAGGGTAGCTGCTCCTGTGGGCCTGGGGCAGGGGAGCGGGCGTGTTGGGAGCCGGGCGGCCGGGTGGGTGGGGGTTAGGGTTAGGCACGGTGTGGGGGAGGGGCCGTGGGCGCAGAGGTGCAGTTTAGAGGGGCGGTACCCGGGCCTTGTGCGGGGCCGGGTTGGCTGGGGAGGGGTTTAGCTGCAGGGGCGGCGGATTTGGAGCGGGCGTTTGCTCCGGAAGCAGCCCAGGGTTTAGCTTTTTCGTCGGGGAGGGTCCAAGAGGCAAGACTAGCCCAGGTGCAGAGGAAAGGCCATTGGGAGACACTTTCCTGGTCTACTACGGAGGTCCAGGACGCCGCAAGATTTAGAAATCCTTGGCTTCCGGGGTTCCAATCCTCTGGCAGCTCTCTGCTTTTTGTATTTTGAGATCCTGTTCAGAATAGTAGCAGGGCAAAGGTTGCCACTCGAATAGATTAAATTTAGCTACACATCCATCGTAGTTGAAGAAACTTGGGAACAAGTTGTGAAACAGGGGCGATCCTCCTAAGAGTCAGGTAGAACAGTGGCTTTGCAGTTACTATTCTGTTCTATGTCAATTCTGTAAAGAGTACCTTGCTCTAAGTATCAGGTTGCTTCTGCTAATTTTTCTATTTTAAAGTTTTGTTAAACTCATGCGCCGTGTGCTTTCTCACCTGCTTCAGTTATTTAGGCACCAAGAATGTTCAGGATGTTGTAATTTCCCCATGTATTGAAAGGTGATGGAGCACAGTTGTTTGGAGACCATCTGCTTTGTCCAGCACTAATCTCCCTGCAGTATCTTTACATAAATCTGAAATCTCTAAAAGATAACTTGAAATAATTTGTGGGAAGATGCTTATTTTAGTAGTAATATTACAGCTCTGCTTTTTATCATTTTAAGAGTTTTGGAATCAGAAGTCATTATGTTACTATGTTTATATGACTGCATTAAGTCATATAAACTGTCATCCATCTGGAGATTATTTATTGTAGGATTCCAAAATTGGAAATAATAGTACAGAGGACCTGGTGCAACTCCCCTTTGTCTTACAAATAAGGAAATTGACACCTTGGCAAGGTAAGATTTGCCTAGGGTCACCAAGATTAGGCTAGAAGTTTGGCATTTTGACTGTTAAGTCTGATTTTTTTCCTTTCCATTTTATTGTGCTTGTTAGTCCATTTGGTAGGAATAGGAGATAGAATTGATTTAGCAAATGTTTGTAGAGTGATTGAGTTAATGCTCCCTGTCGTCCTGTTAGTTTTGTTCAATCCTGTGGCCTCAGCTTTACAGCTGATTCTAGCCATTAGCCTAACGAGATGCTTTCTGAAGATTTTTTTTTTTAAGATTTATTTATTTATTTGAGAGAGAGCACAAGCGGGAGGAACAGTGGGAGAGGGAGGATCTCAAGGAGACTCCCCACTGAGCATGGAGCCCAAGACCGGGCTTGATCTCACAACCCTGAGATCACAGCCTGAGCCAAAACCAAGAAGAGTTGGAGGCTTAACTGACTGCGCCCGCCAGGCACCCCTTTGAAGATGTTTTGATATGTACATTTCTAAAGATGACCAGCAGTGTTCAGTTATTACAGGGAGGAGAAAAATAGCATTATATTTACATGGTTATAAATATCAGATGGACCTTTAGTTGGCAGACTGGCTAGTAAGTTTACTGGCTGTTGTGGTCAGGTGCTTGGAGACCCCAGAGTTTATGCGGACTAGTTTATACAGGAGGTGTAGTGTTAAGAATGTGTGTTTGTAATCAGACAGACCTGAGTTTCATTCATTCACTATCCCTGAGATTGGGCAAATTATCTACTTTGATCCTCAGTTTTAATAATCTATGGAGTAGATCTGATGAACCTGTCTTGCACAGTTGTGGGAATTAAATGAGAGGCATGGTGCTTAATAGGCCCTCATTAAATAATTTATTGTTAGTGTCTGAGCCTTACTAGTCTATATGGTTGATTTTTCTTCATGATAGCATAACAAAGAATTACTAAAAAAAATAATAATTGTTAAATTTTTAAAATATTTTTTAAAGATTTTATTTGAGAGAGCGAGCGAGCGAGCATCAGCTGGGGGAGGGACAGAGGGAGAGGGAGAAGCAGGCTCCCGCTGAGCAGAGAGCCCGATGTGGGACTCGATCTCAGGACCCAGGGATCATGACCTGAGCCGAAGGCAGATGCTTAACCGACTGAGCACCCAGGCGCCCCAAGAAATTATTTTATGGTAGAGAGATTATTGGCCTGAGAAGTCTTAAGTTATGAACTCTGATCTGTTTATCATTTAATCTCTAAGTCTCACTTTACTCAAGTGTAAAATGAAGGTTTAAGAAATTCTGTAGATTTGGGAGTTATTGTAGAAGCATTCTGAGCAATGAGACCTACTAGAAAAGATTTGAAGATTGAGATGAGAATGCAGTGGTAGAAGAGAGAAGAGGTGTGTAGCTGTAGTTAGGGTAGGAGGATAAAGTATAAAACTGGATTTGAGTTGGACTATTTTCTGGGCCAGAATATTTTTTGAAGGAGTGTTAGTGTCAACCAGACCCCTGGGATTCCTGCCTTTCTATCTGGAGGTATGATTGCATATATTTGTCTAGATTACCTGTGGAACATAAACAATGGATTCCTTGGACCATATGCTGACGGATCCCTTGGAACTGGGTCCATGTGGAGATGGCCATGGCACACGTATTATGGAGGACTGCCTCCTGGGGGGCACCAGGGTTAGTCTGCCCGAGGACCTTCTGGAGGATGTAAGTAGTACCATCACCACCATCTTCTCTCTGTCACCTTGCCCATAACCACTATTCTAAACCTTTTCCATACTCTACAAGTTTTCAGTCTTTTGTGCTCCCTTTGGTTTCATTTTCTGCATTGCAGCCAAAGTCATCTCTCTCTTTTTTTTAATGTAAAGTCTTTAACATTGTCCATAGAGAAGAAAGTATAAGCTATACATTTAAGCCCTATTTTTAACCAGATAATTTTGAGGAGTTAACAAGAAATTACATATTTTAAGGACAGAATTATGGATATGTTTACGTTAAATTGGTTACCCACATTGTGGATCATGAAACAAAACCCAGACATTAACTATATCTGTCAATTAAGTAACCCTCTAGTCAGTTAGTAGTACAGGTCCTGGAATGGGATATCAGTGTGCTTTTGGCCCCTTTCACAGGCAGGCTGTGTAATCCCCATCATCATTAAGGTGGCTACCACTTACTAAGTGCTGCTTATGTGCAAGGCATTGTGTATGCCAAAAACTGTATTGAATTACTGTTTATTTTGCCCTGTTTCGCATATACAGGCAGGTGTAGAGTGTCATATAGCACACATTCATTGGTGCATCATCCAGTTTTCGGAGATAATTGCATTTAGTCATATCTGGTTCAGATCTTTTCTTTCGTAGTATGTCCAACATTGTAGATAAAATTAAAGCCACCATTTATTCTCTCTGCCACCTGAAGTAACAATTACTGAAGTTGACATATGTATCCTTCCCATCCACGTTTTCTTTGCACACTCTTTCAAATAAATTTCTTTATGTTATTCATTTTGTCAGCACTTTTTATTAAGTACTACTTTGTGGCAGACACTGAGATACAGGAATAAAGTGTGCAAAAATAGATTTGCAGAGGAAGATCTTGGACACTGAGGTGTTTTAGTACATGCATGCAGGAGATGCCTAGTAGATGGTTGGATTTCTGGGTTGTCTCCTGCTTAAGCCCTTTGGTGGCTCTCCATTGTCCTTAGGATAACGATAGACACAAGTACTTAACATGTTTATAGGTCCCTTCCTCCTCTTTCTTGTGTCTGCTGCTCCCTCCCTCCCTTTGGGTCCTTGCACTAGCTATACATGGCCTCAACTCTCCTCATTATTAAAAAAGTGAACTGTGGCACACATAAGAGTATATAAAATCCATATATATATAGTATATATACAGTTTACACAGCAATAAAACAACCATGTAGCTACTACTTGGGTTAAGAAGTAACTGCCAATACCATTCAGGCCCCCACAGGTAATTGCTATCCTTTCTTTTATATTAATTATTCTTCCATTTTTATGGTTTTGCTCTGTGAATTTTTAAATTTTTGTTTATCAGGGTGCCTGGGTGGCTCAGTCGTTAAGTGTCTGCCTTCGGCTCAGGTCGTGATCCCAGGGTCCTGGGATCGAGCCCCGCATCGGGCTCCCTGCTCCACGGGAAGCCTGCTTGTGTTCCCTCTCTCGCTGTGTCTCTCTCTGTCAAATAAATAAATAAAATCTTAAAAAACAAAAAAACCCCTGAATTTTTCTTTATTAATCTTTAATCTCTATGCCCAACGTGGGGCTTGAACTCATGACCTGCATGCACTACTGACTGAGCCAGCCGGGCGCCTCTGCTCTGTGGATTTTTTTTTTTTTTTTTTAATTTTATTTATTTCACAGAGAGAGACACAGAGAGGGAACACAAGCAGGGGGAGTGGGAGAGGGAGAAGCAGGCTTCCTGCTGAGCAGGGAGCCCGATGTGGGGCTCGAACCCAGGACCCTGGGATCATGACCTGAGCCGAAGGCAGACGCTTAACGACTGAGCCACCCAGGCGCCCCTGCTCTGTGGATTTTTAACTCTCCTGCTTCAACTTTTTTTTTCCCCCCTTAACTATCTTAAATGTCACTTCCTCTGTAGGTGTTCTCTGACGCCTTGCTTCTGGGGCATGTGCTTCTCCTATGTGCTTCTGTGCACATCAGCACTTCTTAAGCTACATTGTAATTGCTTGTTTCCCCCTCGGACTGTGTATACCAGTCTAGCTTAGTACTCAGCACAGAGGAGATATACAGCATATAATTGAACTGAGATTGAACTCCATCCTGCTGCTTGTCGCTCTTCACAGGTGCCTCAACTCCTCATGCTCTCTCCTCCCAATGTTAACTTTTTCCTGCCCCTCATCTTAAGCTGCATTCAGTTTTCCATCATACCCCTTGTTGGTAGAAATGGTTTCTGAATGAGATTCTCTCTACTGAGATCGTTTTTCCTTTGGATTATTATTTACTGTTGGACATGAGATAATGGTTTATATGTAGTCATTAATCTCTAAGATTTGAGAACTGAATAAAGATCAGTGACTTTTTTTTTTAAGATTTTATTTATTTATCTGTTAGAGCGAGAGTGAGAGAGAGCGTGCACACAAAAGCAGGGGGAGCGGCAGGCAGAGGGAGAAGCAGACTTCCCACTGAGCAGGGAGCCTGATGCAGGACTTGATCCCAGGCCCCTGGGATCATACCCTGAGCTGAAGGCAGGCGTTTAACTGACTGAGCCACCCAGGAGTCCCAGTGACATTTTGGTTTAAACAAACTTAAAAACTTGGATGTAGTGATGGTTGCACAACAGTGTGAATGTACTTAATATCACTGTGCACTTAAAAATGTACACTTAAAAATGGATAAAATGGTAAATTTTATGTATATTTTACCACAGAAAAACTTAAAAGCTTGTTTTTCTCTTGTTTACTTTTCTCCTGCTTTTCCTAATTGTCCTAGCCTGAGATATTCTTTGATGTAGTCAGCCTCTCAACATGGCAAGAAGTATTGAGTGACTCTCAACGTGAACACCTCCAGCAGTTTCTGCCTCACTTCCCTGAAGACAGTTTTGAGCAGCAAAATCAGCTCATTTTGGCCCTGTTCAGTGGGGAGAACTTCCGCTTTGGGAACCCTCTGCACATTGCCCAGAAGCTTTTCCGAGGTACGTAGCTTGGCATTCTTTTTTGAGAGGAGTGGAAAAGAAGGAACATGTTCACTTATGTAAATACTCCTTTATTCATTTATTGTATTTATTTTTATGTACTGATAACTGACTCAGACTAATTGTGTGCAACACTTTGCCTAGGCTGTTCTTTTTTTTTTTAATAAGAATTTTTAACTTACATAGGAAAATACATCAATCATAAATGATTTATTGTAATATGAACTTAACTGTGTAACCACCACCCAGATCAAGAAGTAAAACATTACTAGTGCCTTATAGGTCCCTTTATGATTAGTCTTTAAAAAAATTTTGAAACAGTTTATCATTTGCTTTATCACACGTACGTATGTGTATATGTGTATTTGTGTGTCACACATACATACACTTTTTTTTCTGCAGAAAACATGATACTCTACTGTCAAGCACTTCAGCATGTATGTATCTCTTAACAAGGACATTCTACCATGTAATCACAGTCCTATTATCACACCCAAGAAATTTTATACTGTGCAAATATCATAGAATATCTCATATTCAGATGTTGTCGGTTGTTCCCAAAATATCCTTAATGGTGGCCTTTTATTTTTTATTTTTTCCTTTTAAATTCATGATCTATTCAAGTTCATGCATTGTGTTGGATTTCAGTCTCTTGGCTCCCTGAACCTAGGGCCCTCTGCCTTTTTTTCTTTGTCTTTCAAAAACAATGACTTCTTTCTTTAAGTGTGATTGACATGCAATATTATATTATTTTCAGGTGTACATCCTGATTCTCTGTGTATATTCTGAAGCAATCCCTGTGATATATCTAGCTACCATCTGTCACCATACAAGTTGTTACATATTACTAGCTACATTCCCTATGCTGTACATTGTATCCTTTTGTCTTATTTATAACTGGAAGTTAGTAGCTTTTAATCCCCTTCTCCTATTCTGCTTATCCCAATCTCCCCACGCCCACAAGGCAGTCATCACATTGTTCTCTGTGTCTGTTGAGTCTGTTTCTCTTTTTTTGGTTGTTCATATGTTTTGGTTTTCAGATTTTACATGTAAGTAAAATCATGATATCTGTCTTTCTCTGACTTATTTCAGTAAGGATAATATCCTCTGGGTCCATCCATGTTGTCTCAAATAGCAAGATTTCATTCTTTTTTTAGGCTGAGTAGTATTCCATTATATATATATAAACTCATTATCCATATATTCATCTTCATCTCTTCATCTATCGATGGATGTTTAAGTTGCTTCCGTGGCTTGACTCATGTACATAGTACTGCAGTGAACATAGGGATGCATGTACACTTTTTGAATTAGTGTTTTCAGTTTCTTTAGATAAATACCCAGAAGTGGAATTGCTGAATGGTAGTTCTGTTTTTAATTTTTTAAGGAACTCCATACTATTTTCCATAGAGGCACCATTTTTCATTCCCAAAAATAGTGCGTGAGGGTTCCATTTTCTCCACATCCTCCTCAACACTTGTTATTTCTTGTCTTTTTGATAATAACCATTCTCACAGGTTTAAGGTGATATCTTGTGGTTTTGATTTGCAGTACCCTGGTGATTAGTGATGTTGAGCATCTTTTCATGTGTCTGTTGGCCATCTGTGTGTCTTGTTTGGAGAAATGTTTATTCACATCCTCTGCTCATTTTTAATTGGATTATTTGTCTTTTTGGTGTTGAGTTGGAGTTACTTATATTTAGATATTAACACCTTATTGGTTATGTCATTTGCAGATATGTTCTCCCATTCAGCAGGTTGCTTTTTTATTTTGTTGATGGTTTTCTTTGTTTTTTAGTTTGATGTAGTTCCATTTGTTTTTTTGTTTTGTTTTGTTTTTTCTTTTGTTGCCCTTGCTTGAGGAGAGATCCAAAAAATATTGCTAAGACTGATGTCCCAAGAGTTTACTGTGTTTTTTCCTAGGAGTTTTAGGATTTTCGGCCTTACATTAAGTTTTTTTTTTTTTAAAGATTTTATTATTTATTAGAGAGAGCATGAGCAGGGGGGAGAGGCAGAAGGAGGGGGAGAAGCAGACGCTGAGTGGGGAGCCCAACGTGGGGCTCCATCCCAGGACTCTGAGATCATGACCTGAGCCAAAGGCAGATGCTTAGCCAACTGAGCCACCACGCACCCCTTCCATTTAAGTTTTTAATCCATTTTGAGTTTATTTTTGTGTATGGTGTAAGAAAGCAGTCCAGTTTTATTCTTTGGCATTTAGCTATCCAGTTTTCCTAGCACCATTTATTGAAGAGACTCTTTCCCCTATTGTATATTTTTGTCTTTGTTGTAAATTAATTGATTATATAAGAGTAGGTTTATTTCTGGACTCTATTCTGTTGCATTGATCTGTGTGTCTCTTTGTGCCAGTACCATTATGTTCTGATTACTGTAGCTTTGTAGTGTAGTTTGAAATAAAGGAACATGATCTCTCCAGCTTTGTTTTTCTTTCTCAAGATTGCCTTGGCTATTTGGGGTCTTCTGTGATTCCATACAAAACACACTGACATTTTTGAAGAGCTCAGGACACTTGACTTCTAAAAGGTCCTGCTTTATGGGGAATTGTCTTTTTTTTTTAAGAGATTTTATTTATTCATAAGAGACAGAGAGAGGCAGAGGGAGAAGTAGGCTCCCCGCTGAGCGGGGAGCCGGATGCGGGACCCGATCCCAGGACCATGGGATCATGACCTGAGCTGAAGGCAGACGCTTAACCATCTGAGCCACCCAGGCGCCCTGGGGAATTGTCTTGTTTCCTCATGATTGGATTTGGGTTAAACATTTTACCGATAATACTAGATGGGAAATGTTACTTCTTTCTCACCATCACCTCAGGAGGCACATGATGTCAGTTTTTCTGATGTTGGTAATGATGTGTTTGAGTACTTGGTTAAGTGGACGTGTCTGCCAGACATACTGATTGTAACAGTACCTTTTTTCTTCATAATTCAGAAGGAAAATGTAGGATGATACTTTGGGACCAGGTGATAGTCTTTTTCCCAAAAGCCTTTGTTTTACTCAGTGGTTTAACGTCCATTAATGATCCTTGCCCTGAGTCATTTATTACATTGGGGATTGCAAAATGGTTTGGGGCCACTATTAAGCCACAGTTTCCTCTCTGTTCCATGGAGAGCAGCAGAGAGGCCTCTTCTCCTCTTTCTGGGGTGACTTTGCTTTGGCAGGAGGCCCTGAAAGTACAGTGAATCTCCTTGAGTTTTGTTAAATTGGACAACAGGATAGCTACAAAAGCCTGGACGGGACAGGCTTATCATTGCAAAACTTTTATTATCTCAGCTCGTTTCAGACTCGCGTTCCTTCCTTTGGTGAGTTACTGGTTTAAAGAGGAATTCCCCTGGGTAGTGGGGCAAAGTTTATTTCCCTGCAGCCAGGGGCCTCAGGTAGGAGTAAACCATCTCTTCCGATAGAGCCTGCCTGCTTTTAGAGGGGTTATGGCAGGGACCTTGTGTGATGTTTGCACTGTCCGCTGTGCTGGCATGTTTTCCCCCACAGCAGTGTTAGGGTGTGGTGAGGATGCAAACAAGGAATTCCTGCACGTTTCACTCTGACCGCGGTCATATTTTAGTTCCAGTGTTGGTGCAGACAGGTGCAATACCATGCTTATTCATCTTCTGAGCTGTCATTGCATTCCCGTATTCTTTCATCTTTGGTTAGCTTTCCTGTTTCTGTTTTAAATGTTCACCTTTCCCTTAAGTTCCACATGCTTAGCAAACTCTTGCTTCCTGCTTCATAAAGGATCTTCTGTCATAAACCCCCCATTTTCTACTTCCAACCTACACCCCAGCTCCCCGTATTCATTTCCATTCTGAACTACTTTACTTGTCTCAGAGGAAGAAGGAGTTTTGTCTTCTGTTTAAGATTAACCTCTGCTCTTGATCCTTTCATCTTTTCCCTCCTCTGGGACCTCTTTTCCTCAGTTAACCATCCCTTCTATCCTGTGTATTCACTCTGTTTTGCTGTTCACTCCACTTGCTCTTCTTCAGCCTATGGATGCGTTCAGGGGTCTCACACTAAAAAAAGTCCTTCACTGTCTGTCCCCTCCGTTGTCCTCTATCATTTGCCTTTTTATCTCCAAACTTGTTGAAAGACATCCATAGCTGCCCTTTTCAGTCATTCTGCCCGTTTCTTGGGGCTCTTCCGTTATTACCTCACAGAGAGTGCTTTTATTAATGCCACTGTGACCTGTCTTTTCCTTCAACTTTTTTACTTTTAAAGTTCAAAGCTGCAGAAAGGTCACAAGATTTTATAATGGACACCTGTATACAGTTGACCCTTGAACACTGCAGGGCTGAGGGGCGCCTGCTTCCCATTCAGTTACAGATCCATGTGTAACTTTTGACTTTCCCCAAATTTAACTGTTAGCCTAGTATTGACTGGAAGTCTTACCTGTAACAGTCAATTAACACATATTTTATGTATTGTATTTTTTACAATGAAGTCAGCTAGAGAAAAGAAAATGCTAATAGAATCACAAAGAAAATACATTTACAGTATGTACTGTAAAAAAAATCCACATATAACTTGACCCACACAGTTTAAACTGGTGTTCAAGAGTCAGCTATACTTTTCATCAGGTTCACCAACTATTAACATTTTGCCACATTCAGTCTCGTTACTGTATTATTGTCATTTTTTTTTTTTTTTGCTGAACCATTTGAGAGTATTGCAGACATTGTACCCCTACATTTTTCAGCATTCGTCTCTGAAGAATAAGAACGTTCTCTCGGGGTGCCTGGGTGGCTCAGTTGCTTAAGCATCTGCCTTCGGCTCAGGTCATGATCCTGGGTCCTGGGATTGAGCCCCATATCGGGCTCCCTGCTCAGCAGAGAGCCTGCTGCTCCCTCTCCCTCTGTGTGCTCTCTCTCTCTCAAATAAATAAAATCTTAAAAAAAAAATTCTCTTACATAACCACAAATGATCATATTCAGAGATACTGTAAATACAGAATTTTTCTGTACTTAAATTCTGTATATAAGTGTAAAATGTAACACAGGCGTGATGTTATCTAATATATAGTCCATATTCACATCTCACCAGTTGTTCCAGTGAGCATTTTTTCTGCTCCATGTCTCTTTAGTGAGCATGTAATTTCCAAACCAGCAGATGCTTTTTATTTATTTTTATTTTTTTAAAAGATTTATTTATTTGAGAGAGAGTGAGAGCACATGCAGGGGGGAGGGGCAGCGGGAGAGGGAGAATCTCAAACAGACTCCCTGCTGAGTGCAGAACCGTCACAAGGCCTGAACCCACAACCTTGAGATCATGATTTGAGCTGAAATCCAGAGTTGGATGCTTAACCGACTGAGCCACCCAGGCACCCCAGCAGATGCTTTTTAGTTCTCTATTTGGTCCGTGCACAGCATCTACAGTCTTTTTTTTTTTTTTTT